TTTTCTTTTGCCATTTCAGTTTTTTCCATTTTCACCTCTTTTTTTTACTCTTTCGTTTCAGTCCTCAAGTATTTTCTCTCTTCGAGTGGTTTTTTTTTTCTTTTTTGGGGAGCTTTTTTACGCTTTAAACGTACACATCTTAGGGAGATGGTGAGAGCTACATTCGCCATTTAGACGATTCATGCCTCTCAAACTGACAGTTCTGGCACTTTTGCACTGGCATCGGACATGTTTGCCCGTCTACTCGTTCTACTTGCATCACCTGTCCACTGTTTTCTTTAGTAATGCCCGACACTTGTCAATTTATTCAAGTATTTTTACACATTTGTCTTTGGAACAATTCAACGGGAAATTTGTGAATAATAATGAGGTGATTGCTATTTTTGGAATTTTGTGTAAATTAATAATTTCTGTTATTTTTTATGGATCTCTTCGAATTTTTATAAAAAATCTCTGAAATTATTTTTTTGGGGATAATAAAAATTGTTTCTAAGACAGTTTTGTTAATGATTGGATTTGTTAAAAACAAAAATTTTGATGATAACTTTTGATACGAGAATCTCCAATTATCATTTTACATATACTGTCAAAATCTTCTTAAAATTCGAGAGGAAAACCACTTATTTCCGAACAATATGCGAAATTCAATAACTGTCCAATTTCACTGGTCATTTTATAACGCCTTACGACAAAATTTATCGAGTACAAGTGAGTATTTTCTCGTCACCAAGTAAACAACATAATTCCCATTCAAGTCATTCCACCAAGGTCTATTTCTCACAGCACTAAAAGATACAATTCCCCACATGAAGCAACCCAACAGACTGCACACCTCCCCGAAATCGTCCGACGCTCGTTTGAAATCCTTCCGGTTTTACGGCCTCTTCGTTTCACCACCGGTGCAACGAGACAGCCATTGTGGGTCAAGTCAGCGGACACATGAGGGAGTGAAACGACTCGTGAGGGAAAATGTATCGTCTTATCCGCACATGTATATGTACCACGGGAGCCCTTCTCAACCCAGCGAATATATGAACGAAACGGAACATATCCAGTAATACCATCTTTGCTCGTTTCATTGAGTCATAAAAAAAGGTGCCATTCAATATTTTACCCGGTCAATTGACCCATACTATCTCAGACATGATTTCACCCATGAATTCCATTGCACATCCCACGCGTTCATGAATTTAATCCGCACACTTTTCCTAATCTCTTGGGCATTGTCGTTGCGGTGGGTCAAACTGCGTGGGTCAAATATAATAGGTGTAAATCATGGGTCAAATCCTATAGCTACTATAGTTTCTGTGGAATGAATCGGGAGATAAAGTAATTCTCTATAAGATTGTAATCACATGAAATACCCTCCCGTACACCATCCAGACATCGGAAAGGCTTCTGAATTGTTCATCAACTGCCGCATTCATCCCGATAATTAAAAAAATTCATTCCACTCCGAGTGAATTCTTCATTTCTCAACTTCCATCCAGGAATGAAAGATTAAAAAATTGTTCGCAACATCTGTTAATGCCCTGATAATACCATGCGCATTACTTCCCCTTTTCGTGTAATTATTACTTTTTTTCTCATTCCAACTTCTTCATCTCCGTCTCCCTCTGATACCTCCGCTTTTCACTGTTTATTTCATCACTCGCCTATACATCTGTATCCATCCCTCCCAGGAGTCAGAAGTACTCCAGGTAATTGAATAAGTTAATTACGTTTTTTTAAAAAAAAAACTTTGTTGAGCTTTTAAACGTCTACTTTTCCTCCGTCAATTTATCCCCCTTTTTTTTCATTTTTGTTCATAAAGTTCTTTGCACTTCTCAGCTCGTCCCTGGTCGTCGTGTCATCGTCGGCTGCCCATGGAAATGTCAGTGGGAGTTTTTCTTGTAGTTTGACTTTGGGAGAATGTGTATGGGGGTGGAAAAATGCCGGTGAAAGAGCGGAAAAAAGCCGGAGTGGGCTTCTTAATTGAGGTCATGACGAACAGTCTGTACCATTTGCCGAATGTACCGGGAAAATGTCTACACCAACCGGCATTCACCTTCCCCTCTTTCTTACGTTAATTGAGAATGCAAGGATTTCCTCGGGAAGACCGTGATGGGAGTGAATGCCGAGAGAGAATGAAGTGGAGGCAATGAACGTGAAGAGGTGGAGGGTTGGGGTAATTTTATGGGTGACGGATTCTTAAATTGGGGGATTTATTCGCTCCAGGGAACATTAATAAATGTCCTCGTGCAATTTTACCTCCGAATTCGTTGGGCAAATGTGACAGGATTGATTCTTTCATCTTAATATTCCGCCCAATCCTTCACATTAATTTCATGGAGAGACAATATAATTTTTTGAAATACTGAAGAAATTATTATTTACTAACAAAATACGGGAATTTTCCGTGGATTTTCCGGTGTGAAGAATTTCAATTTCTTAAAATTTCGGAGTCAATTTGACCAGTGGAAAATGTCAGAACCGATAAAAATAGATGAAGTTGGTATAAACGTTCGATCAGGCCAACAAAACCGATGAATTCCTCAAGGGCTCTGACACAGGAAAAGGGCATTTTTCAAGGGCTCCATAGTCCGAGAAAAATGGCATGAAATACCGCCCTCAATTCACTCGCACAACTGGCTTCATTTTTTTTTTTTTTTTTTTACCGCCCTCAATTCACTCGCACAACTGGCTTCATTTTTTTTTTTTTTTTTGGCAGTTGTTGGTGAAAAAGGGGTGACAGGGGGGAAAAGAGAGGACACGCCGATCGACCCGCCGGCAGTTCAGACATTTGGAAATGAAATTGAAAATTCAACGCGTCGACTATTTTTCATCCAAGTCAACTCCAATTGAGAAATTGAAAAGCCAGTGAACGAAGACAACTCGCACTTTCTATTCAGAATATTACGAGGGAGAATATAATAATAATGGCAATCTAGGGATTTTTTAATAAAATGGCATAAGCGATATTATTCAATTTTTCAAAGGAATCTCGAGGGGAAAAAAATATTATTGGCATTTGATCGTGAAAATACGCGGTGGTGTACTGCCACGAGGGGCTGTATATACCAGAGGAACACTGGAATTCACCGATATATTGTGAAACGTCCGGTGGAAGGCAATAGAGCTTTGATATACGTATTGTCGACTACCGTCAATCCAATGTCTGACTCTTCGTTTTCTCCTGGCAAATAGATTCTCCAGTGGTGAAATCAAAAATTCACCAATTTTTTCCTCGGAGAAATTAAAATTTTCCATCTGTCAGTTAAATTGTCAGAAAAAAAAGTCGAAATTTGGGCTTTCTCGGGAGACGGAGAGAAAATTTCACGGAAAAATTTTGGGTCAATAATAAAGTTATTTATGAAAAAATATTTTTCGGATATTTTTAGATATTTGGCAAAAACTGGCGTGCAAAAAATGCATTTATCGGAGTTTGTAAGTGTGCTACAGAATTTTCGCGATGAGTCGGAAAATTCGAGCTTGAATTGAAAATCAATGATGGTTGAGCGCGTGAAACCCGATTTTCTGGAATTTCCAATGTGAATGAGATAATGAGGGAAGGTTTTCAATTACAGTTGAATTCGAATTTACATAATTAAATTTCATAAAATATTCAATTTGTTATCAATTGAAAAATATATAAAATGAGGTATCATTCATATTTCCAATATATTTTTAATATATTGAAATGAATTCAAATGATTAAAGACACCTGTCACTGCCAATGGATTTTCAAGGACGCATGGATATAAATTTTTCAGCAATTTGTCACAGAAAATTTTTAATCGCATCACTTGAAACTTGAAGTCGCTTTCGGATTGTGTAATTTTGATATTATCTCCATGACGATTGACCCTCCGACAATATATCGCTGGTAAATCGTGACTTGTTAATAGATTAGAAAAATTATGATCGACACGAAAGGAGTTGAACGCGAGTGAAATGAGAGGGTTGATAATGTGTTTTTTCCTCTTGAAGCTATTAGAATTACGAAAACTCGGTTATTTATCCAAAAAGTTACATTTTCCCCTGAATTCGAGATGCAACCGTTCACAAAACTTGTTATTCACCCTGAACGCCCCGGTAAATTTAGTTCATATAAACCAGTGGTCATGACAGGTTGAATTGTGCAACTCATTACAAAATTTGCACATCACATTTCCAAAACTCATATCCAAAACACAACTGACAGTTGAATTGTTCATTCCCAAAACTGCCAAAAATTCATACTAGAAATTACCAGAATAATTCACCATCCGCATAAATGTTATCAATTTTTTCTCCTTCCATTAACCTTGTCTAGACACTCTTGCATTAATTTCCCCGAGGGTTGAACGAAGACTGTTCAAAAATATCCTAATTACCAAAAATTCGATCCTTATCAGCTTGTTTTACCCCTGATAACCCAGCTGATAACACCGATGAGGGTGTTCCCATCTGTCGAGAAAACAAAGCAAGTAGTCGAAACTCTCGAAAATAGAAGTGAAAATGATTATATGGGCGGCAAGTTGTGGCTAAAGTTGATTTGATCCAAAAGATTCTGATCGTCTAACAAAAGTTTATTCGTGAAAACCTCTATCGGCCCCCCAAAAACTCTCAGTAGTTTACTTATACTCCAACAAATCCCTTTCTCCCACTCGTTCAGAACGTGAAATTCACCAAGTTTTCCCCTACCCAGAATAGCGAGAAAGTAAACCCGCAGGATGTAGCAATAGAGAGAGGACTATTAGAACTTTTGCCTGCATGATGGGCGATGATAATGACTCAGTAGATAATAAATTATCGCGGATAGCGTCCTGAGAGAACTTTAAATCGAGACGATAAGATTTCCAGGAATAAGAATTCTTCATATCGACTCTCAATAATTGCCGGATTATATCTACGGATTGAGGAGTTATTATTTTAATGAGTTCTTTCACAATTACCAAGAATATTCTGCTAACGTCACCGAAATATTTTCACCCCAAGCATGACTTCTATATCCCAACAACACGACGATAAATATTTACCTGTCATCCGTCGGCTCCTCCTGCACTTGCAACCCTCTTGCACTTTTTAATTAACGCGTCTCCTCTTCCTCCACTCTTCCTCCTCCTAACCCCCTCGATTCACCACCCTCTCGGCCCCCATCTACAACACCCAACACCCCGCAAAATCCAAAACGTTTTGACGAGAATAGAAAAAAATCAAAAGCACCAGCACAGATGAAATAAAAAAATTAGCAAAACCACTGGAATCGCGATATCTCCAAGAGTATTAAACTCCCTAATCGCAATTTCTCGTGTCCCCTATTTTTGCGATCACCTACAACATGCGATACGAGTTGGTCAGTCCGAGGTCACTCGTTATCCCGGGAAAAATCTCGTGAAAAATCTCGTGAAAAATCTCGAAAACACTCACATCATCCACCAATCACTAATTTTCACGTTGGATTTTTATTCTTCAAAAAATCAATCTCTTGTCACTTCGAATCCGCGAATACTCGACGATTATATTTTCCTCCGATTATTTATCATTGATCTTCGCCCACGGGAGAATTCATGATTTATTAAAAATCCACTCTGAGGAAATCACAGAGAATTCCTTCAGTTTCAATTCTCAAATTCCAGAATCTCAGAACAATCTTTATTCCTGATGTCGTAAAGGAATTCCCCTCTGGACTAATTCACAGGGCAATTATTAGACCTGAAGACGAATAATCCAAATTTCCCGACTGGAAATCACAATTCTCACTCAGTTCTCGTCATCGAGTGAAAATTTTCATCGCCGGAAGAACGTGAATCAACCTTGGATTGATTAATTACCGATTATCCTTCACTCATTCACAATTTTTGCAGCGCAGACGGGGCTGTTATCAATTTTATTACGTCGTAATTCACACTGTCACATTAATCTCTCGTGAGCGTTTCACAATTTTCGAATATCCAATTTATTCTGGCAGTTGGTGGAGTGTGTTATCTCGGTTATATTATTTGAAAAAAATTTTTTTGTGGCTGCCCTGGAGCTTCTCCGGGGCTGGCGAGGCTTTCTCGAAGGAAAATAGAAAGATTAAACGCAGAATTGGTGGATCCGATGGATTGGAATGGAAAACCGGCGGTTGAGGCACGGCACGCGAGTTCGCCGGCCGACTGAGGGTAGTCAGCCCTAAAACTCACTTCGTCTCCTCTGGCCACGCGAGGGCTGGGTGCGCGCATGCGGATTCACCGATTATTCATACTTGCAATATTCCCCAGTCAAAAGTGACTTCAAAATAATCCGACTATTAAAAATTAGCGATATTGCCAGTGCAACAATTTGTTAATTGGTCTTGACCCGCGAGTAAAGTCACGAAAAGAAAATTGGAAAACTCATTAAGGTCACTAGAATTAATGTTCCATTGTTTCCCAGTGGAAATTGATAATGGATCAATTATGAGGTTAAGGCTTGCAATATTCATCGGCAATTTTCAAATTACCATTGAAAAATTGAAAATAACAAATTGAAAATCGTTCTTAAAAATTCAGTAAAATTCCAATTTTTTCAGAACCTTATTTCCAGACTCATCATTATTTCAATAAAAATTTAATTGATTGACGATAATCCATTTTCACCAGTCATCAAAAAATCATCGAAAATCTCAATTCCTATCCCCACACCATCGAAAAATTTCCCAAACAATAAAAAAAAACCCAAATGAAAAGAAACAATTTTTCAATTGCCTTCAAAACGATCTAATCGCCGGGACAATAATTTCGATCTGCTCCACTTTACTCCGGGACAATTTAAAAATATAAAGAAATCTGAAATAAACATCTCTACCACGGTACCATGAATTCGATCGCTCTCGATCTTAAATCCCCATCAGAGCGATTCTCGAATGTAAGCAAACAATGGTCTCAAACATCGCATCCTTTTCCGAGTGTACGATTCCTGGACTCACAAAAGCCCTCCACTCGGACAACAACAATAATCGAGATACGCACAGTGGTTCACCGCTATCCATTTATCCCCTCACCACCCCCTACCTCATCCCATTCCACCCCAGCCTTATTTCACCCCCACCCACTCCTCCATCCTGTAATAACCAATATTATCAGTTATCGGATTATTACCGTAAATTGTTCGCATTTACCATCACCAACTGGGTTACATATTGCAAGCAGCACACGTACCTCATCGACAACTTTCCAACCCCCACCGGTTCTTCTTCATCTTGTTGTTGTTCTCTGTTGCACAACAACTCGGAGATATCGAGATCTCACTCGCGACCAGGTGTGACTATCGCTGGGACCCGTAAGCATACTGTAAATTTCAACTTGCTCGAACTGGCGTATATAAGGGTGCAGAGACCTCGGTTCATGTTGTTAAACGCTCAGTGTGTACATGGGGTAGTTTTAAAGGCCAACCTCCCCCCTCCCACCTCACTCACTCCAGCCCTCAAGCATTGTAATACGGTAAGTATGATGTATAAGGGGGGTAAATGAGATTAGGTGGCTTCTCCTTTTCTCTGTCTTGGAGGAACGACCGCTCGAGTGGTGGTATCTCACTGTTTGCTAAATTTCGAGGTCTCTAGTTTAATGTGGAAGTCAAAATAGCCGTGGCAGATGACTCCGGGGTGTTTTTGAATATGAGAGGGATGTGGGAAAAATTTTGTCAAGTCGTCATATAATTTTTTCAGTTGATGAAATCATTCAGTTTTGAGAAAAAGAAAATTTTCATCTCCAAAAATCGAAAATATGCTTTGGGTAATTCAATTTCGATTAAATTAAAGAATTCAATTGCAAGTCGAATCCTTTGTAACACTTGAAATTATTGCAAAGGGATTTAAAAAAACTGGGAAGCTTCTCCCCACCCCTCGCCCGATGCTCTTTAAAAATCATTCACCGACAACTTGCGTTCACCCCCGAATCGCCAAACCATGGAAAAATTCTTTTAAAAATCTTTTCTTTCAATTTCTCATTCCTCCCCACCGGTATAATGGCAATAGGAGCTGCATGCAGAGACGATACTTCTGCGTAATGAGGATCGGATGAGGCACCACTGCGAATAGAGGATTTTAGGAATGGAGCATCAACCCTCCCTACTTTCACCCTCTGAAATGGAGAAGACTCTCCACTCGAGGAAAATAGAACGTGGAAGCGGCGAAACGTTTTGGCTGGATTTTGAAGAGGTCGGAGGGAAGGTTATGTCCCTCCAGAAAGGGGTGAAATCAAAGGGAAAAAGAGAGGTGGAGAATCTTGGAGATGCTTCTAGGAATTTTAGAGGGATATTATTTCAATGCCTGCGAGCAATGTCTTCCAGAAGTTGAAAGACAAAGGGATGTTTTATTTAAACGTTCTGGGTAATGTTTTAACTCACTCCATCATTCAAAGTAATTTAAAAAGATGTAGATGAAGATGAAAAAATAGTTGGACCCTGTACTTTCGTGTCCTCGAATGATAAGAGGTGTTTCACAATTGAAAATCCAAAATTTTATGGAAAAAGCGAGAAAAAAGCTGAATATTAGACCAATTATGAAGAAACGAATTGGTAATCCGGAAAATTCACTATAATATATTCCTGAAATATCCATCAATTGATGGAAAGACAGTCGATAGAATTTGAATTTCTCTTTGCAGCCGAAGATTTTTAATTCAATATAAGTAGATCTTTCCATCTTGGCAGATTCCCGGCTCTCTGGAATAAAATTCCACAAACGTTTACAGAATGCATCGATGCCTCCCCCCCCATTTTCCAATCCTTTTTCCTTTATCCCTTGCACTGTCGTCTCTTGTCCCTTACCCATTGATTATTTCTCCACTCTCATGTTTATTCTCATCCTCCCACCGGCGTCATTGTCCTCCACTGTCTCTACCCTTTTGTCACATTGGCTCAGCAGTGCTCTTCCTGTATCTTCACGTTAAAGGGCGAAGGGATGACTCCCTTCACTCTTTAAAGTTCATGGAACGTAACGCAAGCGGAGATTTTACCGGGAGTTAAGAGGCGTTGCCGTCTGCTTTACCGAGATAATATGTTAATCGCGGATGTTACAATGTTAATTAATGAGGTGAAAGGTGATTGGGTCGATCGAGGCATTAGCACCAGGTGTTCGACGTCTTATCGTGAATTTTCAAGCGGTTAAACACATTCTTCGGTGGTGAAAAATAATTGGATTGCCATTCGTGTTTTATCGAATTTTTTTAATCACCGTGATATTATGAAAAATGGTGTGTTAACTTATTACTATTATTATTATTATTATTATTTCCATCTGACCCCCTTCTGACATTATTTATAATATCACGTTTTATTTAGTGAATTAATGTCAGCATGTGCTGAGAGTACATGGCAAACGCGCAAGACCGAGGTGACAATGCAATTTCGCAGCCTCTCACCCTCTCTCCTCACCCACTCTCATGACTGAATGAGGGAGAAGAGAGAAAAAAAAAAGATGGAGGTAGGAAGTATCCTCTCGCGCAGTGTTATATAAACCCGGGGGTAAAAACAGGACGGGAATGTATAAAGAGATTGTCTTTCGGGAGGCGCTTAAAATTTGCACTTTTATAAAGCACACACACTGGTATTCCTCTTCAGCAAACCGAGGGGTGAGGGACGAGGTTTGTTGCTGATGTTGAAGGGGGCAGGGAAAAGCCACGGGGATTTTGTACGCGGGTGAAATGTCTCAGGGTGACTGAAGTCAGAGAAATATTGGAATGGAGAAAAAAATGAGAAAAATATGACGCGAATCGTATGATTTGACGGGTAATGTGAGTTTTTACGATTTTACCCACACGATTTGACCCGTGAAAAGGGGTATGAATACAATTTGACCCACAAGAGAAATTATTTTATATCCCGTGACTTGACTCAAATCAACTCGACTTCGTGAAATTCGGATTACTTTGCAGAGAATACGATTTCTTCAGTGCAGCTGACGAAATATTAAATCGAATAATGTGAATGGACTTATCATATGACCCAACAATAGATTTAAAAAATTCCACTGCCTTAATTGAACTCCAACGTGACTACATTGATTCCAAGTCATTAAAATGGTTTTTTATAACTTTCGACTTGAAATGATTTAATCCTCGAGTAAAATTATACGACCAGAAAGTACAGATTAAAAATAACAACGAACAAAA